ACTCCCGGGTGCCCCCTGCTGGCGACTCCGAGTCTCACCAAATTGAACACAATGAAAGTCATACAAGTCACTAACGATAATATGAACAGTTTGAAATTTAAAGGGGGGTGCTTTGATATCTGTCCCATTTTACATTCTTAGTGCTACACATACCCCTCTGAAACTGGGTAGTTGCGCCCCTGCATCCTCCCCACATAGACATGAACCACCCAACCCATGCCCCATTAGCATGTTCAGGCTCCTTTACCACCTGTCTCATGTGTTCAATCCACCAGTTATGTTGTCACTGTAGTCTGGAATGTTAAAACAAGACTTCTAATTCAATTTAGTAAGCCCTATTGAATGCTGTTTAACAAATCTTACCAGATAAGACTTATAATTTTATCCTTTCTTGTAACCAAATTAGTTGTTCAAAATGAACTCTAATATCTCTAGTACAGACACATTGATCAATACATTTCCTATATTTGCACCAATCAAATCAATACTTAGTTTGATTCAAACAAAATCATCACAGAAACAGATTCTCCTGTTAAACTTAAACCATCAGTTGGCAGGTGGTTCCTCCAGGTGTGTTGATCATCTCGTTCGCCCCATGGACGTTCCATGTTCACCAGGGTGACACTTTGCGTGCTGTCGCAATGGTCTTCCCACGTCGGGAGGGAGGCTGTTACTAGCACTAGCCTTTGACCCCTCACTTTATGCTCTATTGGATGGTTGAGGCCTGCTGGTGTTGTCTTAAGGTGAGAGGCTTGGACCCAGTTGTCACATTCTCTGATCCTTTCAAGGTTTCCCTTAATTCACGACCGCACCCCCACTGGAGTGAACCATTTCTTGCCTGCTTTCACCTGCGAACAGAGACCTTAACTATTCTTGTTAGTGACAACATCTATTAACGCATCTGCTTGTCTGGCCGGTCTTCCCCTTTAATGTGACCTGTGGAATCAATAACCTGAAACATTATCACTGGATCTTAATATCATTCAGAGTCCTTTTTCCTCTGGGAAACATTCAACTCATATTGCTCATGTCCTCAACATAACGTTTATACATTTGAAACAGAATCAGTTCTGTTTGCTGCAATCCATCCTGAGATTCTGTAAAAGGAAAATCTTAGTTATGCGCTGCGCAGATGTGACACCGTTCCGTCACACTAATAACCCAGGCCAGGGTAGTTAGCCAAATTCATCCCTAGCCATTATTTTATTAGACACATTCTGCTCATGTCTTAAAAATCCGCATGATCTGTAGAGAAAAACAAATGGCGAGGTTATTTTCAGATAGTAAAGTACACGTAGTTTCTTTTGTCCGCTGTGCTGCCATGGCCTTCGCTGCTGCCTCTGCTGGCGTCTCCTGTTGAAACAGTCCTGAAATTGTGTTATCAGCGTGTGCAGCCCACTTATAGACAGCAACATTGCCCCACCTGTGCAATGGCTTTCAGCAAATTTAAACCCCTCAGTAAACCCATATTTGGCAATTGTTACCATCCCCCTTTTGATGCATGACCCAGCTCATGCATCAATTTAAATTAATCTAATTCTCCAATCAACACTAACCCAAACAGCATCCTTCAACCAATTTTCGCCCAGACATCTTTCTCTGCCTCTGAAACAAAAATATTACTTAAAGGCCCAATCTCACCTTCTTATCGAAGTTTTTTGAAGGGCAACGGCCCAGAGTCTCACAGCGAATCCTGCTTTTCAGGCCTGTTGTTTGGTCTCTCAAGTCAGTTATCTACAAACATTTCCAAAGTCATCAATTGTTTCTATCAGGTCAGGTCGTGCTGTACAGACTTAGTCTATGTCAGTCAAACATGTCAGTTCAGTTCATAATTGTTAAGGACTCTCTTAATAATTCGATATTAACTTAGCCATTTTTCTTTGTTGTTGCCGTCAAATCTACACCCTTTTTGTTGATCTCAACCCCTGACAGACCCCTGACAGACGTCCGTCAACAAATTCACAAAAGTTTGTCATTTACCTTGGCCCATCTGTGATGATAAAACTCACAAAAGCATAAAATGCTTTCACTATTAAACACACACACCAATTCCTCTTAGCTCTTTTCTATAATCTCCATCAGAGTGTGGTCCCCTGGCATACATAGAGCTTGTCACAATGAGAAACAAGCCGTGCTGTAAGTGCGGTTTCTGGTGAGTGGGATAGAGGGACTTACGTTCCTGGGGCAGACTGCCGTGACTCCTCACAGCTCCATCCCCCCCTAATGATAAAGGATGCTGTTGGCCTCGCAGACACCCGTCCACTCTCATACCCAACCTCACATAAACACCTCCATCAGGAGATGCCCAGTGTCTGCGTGATCCCCCTGCCTTAGGTTGCCTCCTATTTAGCCAAAGAAGGTCTTACCCGTCATCGAGATGACCACTCGTGCACACATGGTAACCGCCATTTTCCAAAACCCTTTTCTTCAACAAAATCTGTTGTTTCTGGAGCTTAGGAAAAATATTCAAGAGTCACCAGGGCCATTCGGATTGCCTAATAGTTGTAACACAGGGAGACAGGTTAATAACAACAGTATTCAATCACTTAAATCCATTAACCATCTTAAAAGCAGCAACTAGCTACTCAGTGGATTTAGATCACAACCGTACATTCAGTGCACTTCATCTGTAGGCGGAGCCATCAGCCCCGCCCCCGTTTCATGGTGGGGACTAAGATCTTCAGACAAAGAAGTTACTGGTTCACAAACAACCTAGTCAAAGATGTATCTTCGTTTCGTCTATTATTATTTTAATGACTTCTTGAAAGTCCTTCAGTTTTACCTTTAAAACATTTAAAATACAAATTGCCTCTGAATGGCAATGATTTCTCTTAACATCTCTGTGTCTATGATCTTCAACTGAAACACTGTTTTTAATACCAATAGCTTATTATCACTAATGACACAGGCTCAGATAACATCTTTAGCTGACATTGAATGAGAGAGAGACTGTGAGGGATTCAGTACTGGTACTGCATGCTCATAAACTTCTAACATCAAACTTTATATTCTATTCCAGCTTAAGGCATCTTTGCCAGAAATTACATACGGTTTCAAATAAACATTATTTACATTTGTCTTTTGCCCACATCAGGGAATTAAGGCATTACTAATTTCCTCTCAGATTGAGTCTCTGTTGCACTGGCAGTTTTCAGCCACATTACACATCAGATTCAGATAAGCAAACTGTTTCATTACAGCCCAAAACAAACTTATCTTTTTGAAAGCTAAACATCAGCTTCTAGTTCTTTCATGGTCAACTTCTCAAGTTGTTTGTTTAATCAGCATTCAACAACTGCTAATAAAGTACTGCTTCTGCTTATTTTTTCTTAAATAAAAATAATTATTCTAGTTCTCAATAAACGTTTCTCATTTCCCAATCTCAATTTTAATCGTCAAGTTCTCTACCATAGTTTACTATTTGACTTAAGTTTTCTCTTGGAGTTTATCAATCTCCAATTAGGATTCACACTAACTTTGACGAGGCAAGCACTCTCTGCTTGTGATACTTTTGCAGTTATTGTAAATCATCTGTGCGATTAGTCTCTATATCATCTAAAACCTTTTTAAAATGTTTAATTAAAACACAATCATCCTATTAGTTACTTTGATATATTTTGCAACTTACATTTGTTGGAGTCATTCATTTTACATCAAACTGTATTTCATTATTTCACTTTAAAATTACTATTATAGATCTTTTCTTCAAAAGGACTCACTTTAAGACTTAAATCTTTTGACCTTGTTTTTATCTCTTATTTCTCAGACAAAAAATGTTAATGTCATCATTTAAACACGGATCTACTTCCAAACCCACATTTATACCAGAAGTTGTTGTCACTTTCACATTTTCAACCACCTTCTCGTGGGCATTTACAGTTACGTGTTAAATGATCCTGCTTACCACAATTAAAACACTCTCTATCTGCTCCAACTTACTGCACACTCTTGAAGCAGTGTGTCCCACTCAGGAATGCACACAGAGCCACTGATAAGCAGTTCTCTGTATTCTTTTACAGTCCACCAGTGGCGGATTTAATCACAATAGCCCAATCATAATCTTCTTCATTATTATTGACAGAACATTAATTTTCATAAGCTGCATCGAAATGCTCAAAATATTCAAAGTTGTTTTCACAAAGTTTCTTTAATCACTTGCCTAGGGAAATTATTCCCGACCCAAACTTTCCTTTTATAAAACAATATCTTATTTCAATGTCAATCAACCTTACTGATTTCCAGAATCTTTGGACATAGCTGTCTTTACATTTTTACATTTATGATGAATGCAGCCACAACAGCCTGTTTGCTTTTCGCTGCCCTGTTCCACTGATTTCTTCACTAGCCTACCTTTAGCCTGGTAGCGCTCAGTGTTCCCTCACTGGGAAAATCATGATACTTTATCAATTTCCTATATCCACACCTTTCTGCCCATAATGTTTTCTCATTTGACCAAAACACCGGTGTATCATATCTGGCAAGCTTGCTCTGAGATTTCCCCATACTGGCTGTTTCTATTTCCCCCCATGGATTTTCCTTGGACGCGTCTAATAATCTGTCGGACGTCTCCAACAGATCCGATCTCTTAACCCAAGATCGGTCAAGGTGCACTACCAGCGCTTTATCTACTGGAAATCTTTTGACCCCGCTGCAGATCTTCAATTACCCCACAGATTAGAGTCCACCTGAAATCTCTTGACCTGCTTTCAGCTCTCAAGTGACCTCGGACCGTAATCTGGGCGAAATCTCTGACCTGACAAATGTCAATTAATTTCAGATTTACGAAAACTCAGTGTCCATATGAAATTTCTTGACCTGACAACAGGTCTCAATTAATCTTGGACTACTCTCTTATTCGCAATTTACGAAAACTCAGTGTCCATATGAAATTTCTTGACCTGCCAACAGGTCTCAATTAATCTTGGACTACTCTCTTATTCGCAACCACCGAAATAGACCCCAGCCAGTACAGTTCCCCTCAATTATATACCCAATATAAAATGAATTTAGCTGTGTCTTACCAGGATGTCTTTTCGCTGTGCCTCGGGTTCTTTTTGATTCCAGTGGAGCCTCTCCTGGGCCTGATAGCGGTCGGCCCCTCTCTCTCAAGCTTACGAGGTAGAGCTGGAACTGCTCAGTCCAGGTGGCCAAACACCGTCCGCTCTCAGGTCCAGAAGGCACTTCCAAGGAATCCCATTCTTCTGACACCAATTGTTAAGGCAAAAATTCAATAAACAGACATCACTTCGTAAGAGACATTCTGAGTCAAATTAATAAAAGAAAAGAGAAGTTTATTCTTGCAAGAATAGGCCCAGTCGCTAACACAGATTGGTACACTGTGAAGAGAGTGACGCCCAGAACACAGGCCGGGGTGAAGACTAAATAGCCCTCCCCAAGGTTATTTACTGCAAGCCGAGCCTTCTCTGTAAATTTCCACAAAGTTATAGGATTCATGATGCCAGGTTAGATTTACTAACCCCGTCCCAATCTAAGATGACCCCTGACCCGGCCGGTCCTCTGGTGCCTAGCTCCACTCCTGATAAGGGAGAACAAATCACTTCCCCCATCCCATAAGACATTCCTCTGTGGTTACATATAGAAAGTGAACATAATAAGGAAATAATGAGACATAAGATCCAATAATCATATTAATATATGTGAGATTAAAATTTCCACAACAACACCATATTACATATGCATTATAATCTTAATGTTCTTCAATATTTAATGCATTTTTTAATAAATCTGGCAAGATTTCATGACAGCCACCATTTAAATGTTTATATTTCATATAATCTTATTCTTATAAAATTAAATAAAGTGTAATTTAAGTGTTTGTATAGCTACAAAACAGTTCATTATTACCTTCATATTAGGCTAATGAAGACTATAGGCTACAACTAGACTCCCATAAATTACAGCATTAGTTAAGAGATTTAATTTCCTTGAGAAAATTTGCCATTTATTGTAACTGATATCCAAAATAATCAATATTGAATCGAATTGCAAGCTTGTAAATCGAATTGTGAAATTTGAGTCAATACCCAGCCCTAGTTATTATTATTATTGACCCTAATTATTATGGTAAATGATCAGTGTGGGCAGTGCTTTAGGAAAACTGTTCTGCAGGATCATAAACACACGCATCGTCTCACACATCTCATCGCACAACATTTGAAATAAAGCACAGATTGGCTTTCTACCCAAACACTCTCATCAACAAGAACATAAACGACAAACAAAGACAAATATTTGCATGTTTTGTAGACTTTAACCCTCTGGGGTTGTTCGTTTCAGAGTCACACTCGGGGTGTTCGGGTCCAAATGGACCCAAAGGGCGGGATTCATATTTAAAAAAACAAAAATCATGATTTTTTTTTTACTCGTTTTTTATAATATTTTTTCTTTTCTTTTTTGGTGTTTTGAGAAAATTTCAAAAAAAAAAAAAATTATAATTAGTATTAATGCAATAATTATGACAAAATGTCCCCCCATTGAACATAATAGAAAAAATATTTACATTTTTTTATTTTTTATTTAAAGCTGTATTTCATTTTAGAGTCAAGCCTAGGCCTCATAAAATCAATTTTTGAAATGTGGTGGACAAACTGAGCATTTTAAAAATACAAAACACATGTATAATCTGAATTTTTGGTGTGTTTGTGTATAAAAGTGTGTTTGTGTATGTGTATGTGTGTCTGGATGTGTCTGTTTTGCACTCTTGATGTTTTATAGATTCACCCCTTCACTGTTGTGTGCTTTTTTTCAAGATCGTTGCTGATTTGTAGATTGTACGCACAAAAAAAACTCAGTATTTTCACATTTTTGCCAATTTCCCATTCATTTTCCATGCGGGTCCATTTGGACCCGAACACCCCAAGTGTGACTATTTTTTTTACAACCACTTAGACTACTCACATCCTGTCCCCAATTTTTTTGGGTCTTCAAATACCAAATATCAACAAAGTCACCAAATTTCGGACCATTCCGAGGAAGTTGTGATTTTTAAAAAAAATTTTATTTAAATTCTTCGGGTCCATTTGGGCCGAACAACCCCAGAAGGTTAAAAAAGCATTCGATTCAATCTGGCATGATGTCTATACTGTACAAAATCCTACAAACTGGCATTGGCGGGAAAACTTTGATTTAATAAAATTTCTGTACAGCAAAAATGTGGTGAAAATCAGGAACCACAGAAGCGCGTTCTTCCAGCAGGGCCGTGGAGTGTGTTTGTGTGTGTGTGTTATTCCAGCAGGGGTGCTCTCTCTCTCTCTCTCTCTTATTCCCTGTATTCGCTCTTGTGTTTTGCAGAATCACCCCAGCAGTTTTTCCTTGTTTAAACACTTCTTGAATTAATGACCTGCTCTTTCTTGCTATGTTGGAAAACATTGCTTTTGTCTTTCTTGCTCGGGGATTCAAGACTCTAAACAAGATATAGAACCATTTAAGTCTTTCGTCTGAGATTACGGTTATTTCCTGTAAATGTACAGTACACTTGCTGTGAGCTGTTCTCTTTCTGCAGGCCTGGCTCACCGAGATTAATGAGTTTGCTCAGCAGAACGTAGTGATCATGCTTCTGGGGAACAAGGTGAGTAAAGTATATCCTGAAATACTACAGATACAGCACTGTCCTGATCTGAAACCTGTATTTGGATTAGCCATGCACGTAGAACATCAGTTCGTAAATAAGTTATATAGAAAACATTGATAAGCTAATACATAATGCATTGTTTATTGATTGATTTTTCAGGCTGATGCCACTCATGAAAGGGTTGTGAAGCGAGAGGAGGGTGAGAAACTGGCCAAGGTGTGTTATATCAGCACACAAACACACTTACACAGTCATGTAGACATAAAAAAAAAATTATTGGTGTAAAATCTTTTTAATGAGGTAAATGCAGCTTTAAATGGGAAACCGGCATCACATTATGCAGGTTTCACTCAAACATTTCATGCATTACCTGTTTGTTTTTCCCGTCACGCTGCAGAGTAGATCATGCGAATCTCTTGCCTAATTGAGCGTCTTTATTGTCTTTGAGAGGTTATTCCGTTTAAATTACTCATGCATATGACACACACACACTTACTTCGAGCTGAACTGTGTAGGTTTGTAACTAATTTGCATAATTCCAGTCTCTGGTGTTGATTGGCTGAGCAGCGCCTCTTAGCTCCGCCCTCAAACACTGTAGTGTATCTGAGACTGAAGAGTTCGGTTCGTGACAAAGCAAATCCACTTTGATGAGATTGATACGGTAAAACACACGCCATCGTTACTGTTCGTATCACTGTGTGTAAAGAGCTGAGATTCACATATGATAATGATCGCTTTCTGACCAATCACAGCAGAGCAGCTCTCAGAGAGGCGGAGCTTAGAGAGGCCGAATGACACTGTTTACACGAGAACGCTCGCGGGTGAAAATGTAAAAATATTTGATCGGATGTGCCTTTTGTTTACACGGCGAAATCTTAGGCTATGTTTACACCTAAACTATCTGAAGAGAAAACGCAAAAGCGGCGTTGCGTTATCACTTTTTATTCTGCGTTCAGACGAGCGTTATGGGTGGGAAATCCCAACCCGATCTCACGGGAATTCGTACGAATTTTACGAGGTGGCTAATTCGTAACAATTCATACGACCTCACTCGTACAAATTAGTACGATTTTGCTAAATCGTACATATTTTGCGAATTGGCCAATTCGTATGAATTCGTACGAATGACTTACCCCTGACCACGCCCCTAAACCTAACCATCACGTGGGTTTAGACAAATCGTATGAATTTGTACGAGTGAGGTCGTACGAATTAGCCACTTTTTAATCACTCGAATTGGTCGTGAGATAGGGTAGGAAATCCGCATGCATATGGTGATGCAAAAGTGTGTTAAATTTGATGTAGTGTGCGCTCCAGACGGCTAGGTGGCGATGTGAAGCACTGCCACACAACAACACCAAGTCCGCGCGCCGGCGTACAACCTTCCGTCTAGCAGACTTTTGCGTTTTTACCCTTTAGACGGGAACGCGACGGTGGAGCGTTTTTAAGATTTCCACTCTGGAGGGTGTTTTCACTTTTTTTGCGTTTTTTAAGCCCCAAAAACGCCGTCGCCGTGTAAACGAAAAGGCACATCCGATCAAATATTTTTACGTTTTCTTTTACGTTTTCACCCGCGAGCGTTCTCGTGTAAACAGGGCCTTAAAAACACTCCACTGCCGCATTCCCGTGTAAAGGGTAAAAACGCAAAAGTCTGCCTGACAGTGAAGGTTGTATGGCAGTGCTTCACATCGCCACCTAGCCGCCTGGAGTGCACACTACATCGAATCTCACACACTTTTGCTTCACCATGCGGATCTCCCACCCAAAATGGTAGTCTAAACGCAGAATAAAAAGTGAAAACGCCACGCCACTTTTGCCTTTTCTCTTCAGATCGTTTACTTGTAAATATAGCCTGAGAAAAAAGAGCTGATGCTGTAATGTGGATTATGAGAAAATTAAAGTGTTAATTGTCATAGGAGACCTTTAAATCGGCATAATAGGGACCTTTTAAAGGACTTCTGAAGCACTGATCTCACTGTTTGTAAATGTGATATGCATTATGTCGATGGATCATTTGTGCATGCATATTTTAAATTAGACAAATGTTGTCTTTCTCTCTACAGGAGTATGGCGTTCCCTTCATGGAGACCAGTGCAAAGTCAGGTCTGAATGTGGAGTTGTCCTTCACTGCTGTGGCAAAGTAAGTCACTCGCTAAATCTGTGCATGATAAATAGAGCCGAGAATATCACACTCTTATTTTTGTCACATCATCTAAATAAATGCACACACACACACACACACACGTGGCAGCCGATGCCTTTCCAAATTCAGGACAATTTTTAAACGTAACTACAAGACTTCATTAAATACATTTGCATGCACAAAAGCTGCATCTTATTCATTAAACCACCCGTAATCCAATTTAAGTCATGCTAAATATGCATTTACATTTACAATACATTTAGGAAGTCTTTTATGCTCACCAAGGCAAGATTGATAATAATCATAAATGTTTGTTGATCATCAGATCCTCATATTAGAGTGATTTGTGAAGGATCATGTGACTAATGATGCTTTGATCACAGGAATAAATTACACTTTACTGTATATTCACATAGAAAACTGATGATTTACATTATAATAATATTTCACTGTTTTAATGCATTTTTTATCAAATAATTAAAGCCTTGGTGAGCAGGAAAAAAACGTAATTATTCCAAACTAATGACCGGTAGTGTAAACATACAGCAAACGTTTATCGGCAGTGACTTACAATATGCATCATGTATACTGTCTGTATATTCTGCAAAAGGAAGAATATACAATAAATATGCATTGTGTAGAGTAACTCGCACATGTAAATGCAGTTTCAGCCTCTTCTCTGTGTAAATGAGTGTAAAATGAACAAAATCACAAACTTAGTGCAGTTAATGTGTGTTGAGAAAGCGTCGGGAAGTGAAGGCCAGATGTTCTGCTTACGGGGATTTATCTTTACATTTACAAGATTTTATGCAAAAGTGTGTCTGTATTTGAATAATATAATAAAATCAAGGCCAGAATACCATTACTAAACACCAATTACACTATTGCATTACATTCAGTTTGAGGGAAAACACTTAGATGAAGACTGTGTTATTCACAAATGCAATTAATGATGTAGCCGTGAAGCAACTGATTAAACGAGTAGTTCACTTTTGCTGATAATTTACTCTCCCCCATGTCATCCAAGATGTCCACGCCTTTCTTTCTTCAGTCGAAAAGAAATTAAGGTTTTTGATGAAAACATTCCAGGATTTTCTCCATATAATGAGCTTCAATGGGGTCCAAACGGTTCAAGGTCCAAAAGACAGTTTCAGTGCAAACTACAAACTGTTCAAAGGGCTTTAAACGACACCAGACGATGAATAAGGGTCATATCAAGCGAAATGATCCCTCATTCAACGAACGAAATGACTCGAAAAAAGATTTGTTCATTTTGATGAACGAGTTCAAACAGGAGAGTCACGACAGAGCAAGCCGAGCATTTGTGCTTATAAAACTTAAACTTTGTTATTTATTTATTAAATGAGCGATCGTTTCACTTGATAAGACCCTTATTCATCGTCTGGTGTCGTTGAACAGTTTGTAGTTTGCACTGAAAGTGTCTTTTGGACCTTGAACCGTTTGGACCCCATTGAAGTCCATTATATGGAGAAAATCCTGGAATGTTTTCATCAAAAACCTTAATTTCTTTTCGACTGAAGAAAGAAAGACGTGGACATCTTGGATGACATGGGAGTGAGTAAATTATCAGCAAAAGTTTTTTTTTTTTTTTTTAAAGTGAACTACTCCTTTCATAATGGAGAAAAACATGCTGTTGGATCATAGATGCTAAAGTACATCAGATTACAGTAATCACACGGTGTGTGTAGGTGTGTTTGCATCATTACCAGGTTTTCCTAATTCCTTCATTGAATCTTGTGCTTAAATGTGTGCTAATAAACCTCAGGCGTTGAGTTTTCCTGAGGATTGTGCTGTTTCCCTCAGGGATCTGAAGCACAGGGAGATGAAGGAGCCGAACGAGCCCAAGTTTCAGCTGCAGGAGTTTGTTAACAAGGAGATGAAGGGAGTCGGATGCTGTCGCTCATAAACCCGTCTCATTGTCTGTGTGTTTCCACTCTTTCATCCTCTTCTCCCGCATTGGAGGCTGTCAGATATTCAGTGTCTCCGGAGACTTTCATTTTCAAACACTGTATTTTTTCTTTGGACCTTCATGCTCTTCACAGCTCGCAAACAGAGAAGCAAGCCGTCGTCAGGGCGGTCGGCATATTTACATTGATAAATACGGGGAAGAATGATGTTCGGTCCTGCTTTCTGACCCGCCGCCTCAAGCAGATGTGAATGTGTTTATCTCAACGTTTGCTTCGGTGTATCGCATCATCACTGCTTTACTTCTGGTGTGTGTGTTAGAAGGTAAAACACACAGAGAACTGAGGCGTAAAATCAGAATCTGTGCTTTCAGTCTCATTCATGCTAATTGAGTCCTGAGGCACTTTCTACACACTTAAAGGAGTAGTTCACTTTAAAAACTTTTGCTGATAATTTACTCGCCCCCATGTCATCCAAGATGTCCACGTCTTTCTTTCTTCAGTCGAAAAGAAATGAAGGTTTTTGATGAAAACATTCCAGGATTTTCTCCCTATAATGGACTTCAATGGGGTCCAAACGGTTCAAGGTCCAAATGAGAGTTTCAGTGCAGCTTCAAAGGGATTTAAACGACTCCAGACGATGAATAAGGGTCTTATCAAGCGAAACGATCGCTCATTTAATAAATAAATAAAAAAGTTTAAGTTTTTTAAGCTCAAATGCTCGCCTTGCTCTGTTCTGTGATGCGCGTTCGTGACTCTCCTGTTCGAACTCGTTCATCAAAATGATCAAATCTTTTTTCGAGTCATTTGGTTCATTCAACGAACGAAATGTTTCAAGTAGGGTTCAATTGATTCAATAGCGTTTCGATAGCAAAAGTAAAGAACTGTATGCTTGTACGTTCCAAAAGCTTCCTTGTTCTTTTCTTGTGTTTTAAAAAGTGAGAGGCGGCCATCTTTTTATTCAAACTTTCTCAACAACTGTCAAAATAAAAGACCCTACAAAATAAAGGATCCTAAATCTAACAAAACATTCCAGTGCTCCAATAGCACAACAATTTAGATTAAACTAAACTCAAAATAGCTCCTACACACACAGAACAGAGCAAGGCAAGCATTCATGCTTATAAAACTTAAACTTTGTTATTTATTTATTTATTAAATGAGCGATCGTTTCGTTTGATAAGACCCTTATTCATCGTCTGGAGTCGTTTAAATCCCTTTGAAGCTGCACTGAAACTCTCTTTTGGACCTTGAACCGTTTGGACCCCATTGAAGTCCATTATATGGAGAAAATCCTGGAATGTTTTCATCAAAAACCTTAATTTCTTTTCGACTGAGGAAAGAAAGACATGGACATCTTGGATGACATGGGGGCGAGTAAATTATCAGCAAACGTTTTTTCAAAAGTGAACTACTCCTTTAATGATGTGTGGAAAAGTGGTAAAATTATATTAGGGAAATTATGCACATCTTTCTGTTTTTAAAGCCGTTTTTGGCCAGACTTTCTCTTTTTAGTGACCAAACCATCTCACATTCCTCTAAAGCTCATCGAGGTCATGAACATGTGGAACTTTTCTCTTTATATTATGGGCGCTTGTTTCCGCCACAGAATAAAAAATAAAAAAAGGTATTTGCGACTTTTTATCCCAGTTATGCCTTTTTTTAAAATATCTTACAATTCTGACTTTATAACACGCATTTGAGAGTTCATATCTCACAATTCTGACCTTATAAGATGAAATTGCGACTCTATATCATGCAATTCTGACTTCATATCTCCCAATTGCATGTTATAAAGTCAGAATTGCGAGATGTAAACTCGCTATTGTGAGAAAATAGTCCGAATCGTGAGATAAAGAAGCTTGTCTCTGCCACAGAATAAAACATTTTAAGATAATTGCAACTTTTTATCTCACAAGTTTATCTCTCACAATTCTGACTTTATTTATAGGAATTATGAGATATGAAGTCAGAATTGTGAGATATAAAGTCAGAATTGTGTTTTATAAAATCAGAATTGCGAGATATAAAAACAATTCTGATTTTTTTTAAAGTTTATTACTTGCCATTCTGACTATAACACACAATTGTATACGTATATCTCGCAATTCTGACATTTTTTCTCTAAATTGTGAGATATAAACTCGCATCTGCAAGTTTAAGTCCAATTCTGAGCGGAAAAAAGACTAACTTAATCAAATTTTTCATCCATGTTAAAATATTTTATAATGTCACATGATCTGTTCATTATGGAAGCTTGTTTCCACCACAGAATAAAAAATAAAAAAGGTAATTGCGACTTTTTATCTCTGCCCTTTTTTAAAATATCTCCCAATTCTGACCTTATAACATGAAATTGTGACTCTATATCATACAATTCTGACTTCATATTCACATTCATCTCCCATTTGCGTGTTATAAAGTCAGAATTGCGAGATGTGAACTCGCAATTGTGAGAAAATAGAATCGTTTTTTTTTTTTTAATTCTGTCGCGGAAACAAGCTTCCATAATGATCATGTGACCTAATAAAATGTTTTATCATGGATGGAAAGTTTGATTAAGTTAGTCAAAAGAATTACTCATCCATATATATTAGGCTCTTTACACTTTCAGAAACACACACACACACACGCGCTCACATACGCTCCATACACTGTAAAAACGAATACGCTTTTTCTAATCAAAAAAATTGTGGCAACAGATTACAAGCAATATTACTAATTAAATTTAACAAATTAGAATTGAGTAATAATTAATCAAATTAGTTAACCATTTAAAATGACTAAAACATACAACAACAACAACAAACAAACAAAAAAGTACATTTAAGTCACCATTATGTTGATCAGTGTTTGTTTTAAAATGACGGTTTTCTCCTTCAGTAATTCTGCTCGTTAACATCAGGTGTCTTCAATGTTGGCAATATTAAATAAAGAGTTCTTAATTAATCTTTGACGTCAGATATTTTTGTTAAATTTTTGGGTGTAAACTTTACTCATTTTAAATGGTTAACTTTTAAGGAATTAATTTGTTTAATTATTACTCAATTCTAATTTTTTTAATTTAATTAATAATATTGCTTGTAATCTGTTGCCACAATTTTATTGATTAGAAAGCGTATTCATTTTTACAGTGTAATCATATTCTCGGTTGCACTTTATTTTACAGTCCTGTTGTGCATACTTATTACAGTAATTACAATAACTGGGTAATAACTACTAACCTTGAACCTATAACCTAAACACCTGTAGTTTATGTGTACTTACAGTGAACTTATTACCCAGTTAATATAATTACTGTTATAATGCACATTGCACAACTGGTCTGTAAAATAAAGTACAACCATATTCGCTCGTCATTTTTATTTGTCAATGTCCGTTCATAAAATATAAACTAATGGGAAAAATGAATGTATGTAATGTACATATGAAAAATATCATATGGCGCTTAGTTTGCATAATACAGTACATGATTGATGTTTTGTTGAATGCCTTACATTTTTGTCCTGTTGGCTAAATATATAAGCTTTAACTAGAAATTAGTTGCTTTCAGTGATGTTCAGGATGTGCCAGAATTTAACGATTTGATGTTAGCGTACTGTAGATCGTTTACTACTGTATATCGTGCTGTAGAAATATTTTCATGTGAAGAGTTTTGACCTGGAGAGTACTATGCCTTTTGCACTTTTGTTCTCGTTGTTTTTATGTTGTTGTTCTTATTTTTTATATCATATCTGGAACTAATGGAAGAGCAGTATTTAACCTGAAAGTAATATTTTGTTGTTCAGAAAATTTGTACTGATGTGCCATTTTTAACAGCTTAGAGAATATTAACCACAAATCAACTAATGTATATAGCCTAAGATAAACTCAGTTTATTTCCCCCTATGATGGAATTACATGATATCACAGAAATGACAAGCAATGATATACAGAACTTTTTTCTATTGACCTCCACGTTGTTGTTGTTTTTTTGAAGGTTTTTATGTAAAGTGTATTGTATTCCCTACAATAAAGTTGAATTCTGCATTGAAGTTTCATTAATATGATCTAACAGCGACACCTCGTGGACACAATATCATATTGCGTTACCAAATTAACATGGAAACCGAAGTTCCATTATTCCTTGTTTCTAAATTAAGCTTTTACTGTTTACAGATTTTACAGAGAGAGAGAGAGATATATTAATTATACATTAATTAATTAATCCAAAGCCAATTACAAAGAAGAGAACAATACAATCAGAAGTAATTATTCCAAGCAATTGGACTACTCTTATTTATTGAAATGCCATAATCACTTTCAGCAGGTTGAATATGATAAACAAGCAGATGACGCTATATTGAACAGCATTTGAACAAGTCATTTACAAAACGTACGAAATTTGGCTAGCAAACAGCACATTTCTTTTTATGTAGGCTATTTATAATGGTAAGTAGTCTATAGTAGCCTAAACTATAAAGTTTTCTATTCAAAACTAACAAAATGTATTAATTATTCAAATGCATTATCGATGCTTCTCATCTTTACATAATACTGCGCCACTTGCGTCATTAAACCAGAGGGTGGCGACAAGACTGTCTTTTTGAGTGAGCCATTACTTAAATTACCAAACATTTTAGGAAAGAAAAGTAGCTGAAACTGAAACTGATTCTCATGTTTGAGAATCTGATCAAATAGGCTACTTCATGCTTTTAAAGCTACTGTTGTCAATTTTTTTTGACCATCAAAACACCTTAAAATGCTCATTTCGAGATCAGGAAAATCTAAATTTTCTCGAGGGGGGCATTTCCCTGAACCCCCCTAACAATATCATTTATGGGACCTGGGTATTGTGCGGCCCTGATATGCAATAATACTGATTTTATGTGTTCTATTGTATTTATTATACTCTATTCTGTAGTCTTGCATATTGTACTAATGCTAGACTAGTAGTCTTTCATGTCACTGTTTATAACACAGAGCGTTCATCCTTTGCTGTGACGCTTAAAAAAATATTTAGGGCATAAATTAAGAGTATGCCCACTTCTCCAGGCACCACTACATCACTG